AAGGAGACACAGACTCCAAAGCAGGCTCCAGGCTCTGAGCTGTCAGCCCAGAGCCTGACACAGGACTCGAACCCACAAATCAAGAGATCATGACCTGAGCTGAAGTCGGATGCTTAACTGACTGAACCACCCAGGTGCCCCTCTCTTCCTGCTTTAGAGTAGATGTTGGATTTTGTTAAATGCTTCCTTTGTATCTATTGAGATAAATATTTTTTCTTCTTTTTGTTTGATATGAATTACTTTGATTGATTTTCACATGTTTCAAATATTACATCAATCTCACATTCCTGGGATAAACTCCTCTTTGTTATGATGAATTATCATTTTTTATATTGTTGGATATGGTTGGTTAAGTTTTTTTAAATAATTTTTTATCTATATCTTTGTTTCTTGTATTTTTGTCTTATTTTAATATAAAGGTAATTCTATTCTGTGAATGGTTACCTCCTCTAACTTTTTAAGAAAGATTTGTGTTCAGTTACTAATGGTTCTTAAATATATGTTGAATTTACTTAAGCCATCCGAGTCTGCTTGTTTCTATTTTTTTACTTTTTTTTGCAAAGATTTTAAAACTATAAGCTCATTTTTTTTTGATTGATATAGACTATTTAGTTTATCTGTTTCTTTTTGTTTGAATTTTAGTAGGTTGTATCCTTCAAGGAAATGTCTATTTCATCTAAGTTGGTGATTTTATTGGTATTAAATTGTTAATAATTTTCCTTATTCACCTTTTTAATTTATAGAATCTGTGGTGACATTTTCTTTCTCATTCTTGGTATTGGTGATATTGATATTTTATGTCTCTTCTTTTTTTTCCTAATCATTCTGGCTAGAAGTGTATCAATTTTATTAATCTTCTCAAAGATCAGCTTTTGGCTTTACTTCTGTTTTTCTTTCTATTTAATTGACTTATGCTCTAATCTTTGTTATTTCTTTCTTTCTGCTTGTTTTAGGCTTAGTTTGCACCATTTAAAACATTTTTTAAATGTCCTTGATGTGGAAGCTAAAGTCATTGATTTGAGAATTGTCTGTTTTGTAATATAGTCATTTTGTGCTCTCAATTTCCCTAAGCACTGTTTTGGCAACGTTCCCCAATTTTTCATACACTGTCTTCATTCTCATTCAGTTCAAAATACTTTCTAGTGTCCCTTTTGTTTTTTAATTTGATCTGTAGGTTATTTAAAAGTGTGTGAGTTAGTTTTCTAAAGTTTTGTCGTTTTTCTAGAGATGTTTCAATTTTTTATTTATAATTTAATTACATTTTGATCTGAGAATATT